TTTCAATAAGCAATTGGCAAAACTTGCTTTAGTAATGGGCGCATTTTGTTTCACGCATGATGCGCATTATTTATCTTTATTTAACGTCCGGTAAACAACAAGGATATATGATGCATTATGTGCATCATGCGTGAAACGGAACGCACCCCAAGCTTGGTTGTCTGGGCACAGATGTACAGTAGTCTTATACGTAGTCATCTTTGATTATGTATGTGATGCGTCGAATCGAGGAGAATTAGGCGATAAGCTTGCGAGAAAGAGCTAAGGCAATACTGCTCGTAAAATTACATGCGTGCGTGAATCGTTTGTGTAATGTACATGTGCGTATAATATGTATGTACGAATATATTTATAATATGTACAAAAGTTTTTTTTATTTATAATTGATTTATAATGTCGCCTAGGAGTAGTACAAAATATTTGAGGAAGATAACTGCGCGGTGACGACCGGAGATAGGAAAGTGATACTTTCATTCGTGTTACTCTAGATAATTACGCCTCTTATCCGCTACGACCTATAAATCTTTAGCTCTTTGTATGAAATGTAAAGTCTTATGCGCGAAGTGGGATAAACTTATTAAGGAGAAGATGAGAAGGCTCTACGCGTAAATGTGTTTTCTTATGGTTCGTTTCCCGTTCGTAAAAAGCGTTGGCCTCTAACGTTAGTAGCATATACAATTTTACTTCGTCTCTAATACTCCTAATTCCGGGTCATACATTATCTACGTTCGAGAGAAAGATGGTACCGATATATCTTTTCCTATTTACGGCGTTAATATATTTTCAAATAATAAACGTCGTTACGTAAAAATTATCTTTCGAAACGAAAAAATTAAAAGTAGGATGGGAAATAGTTGTCCTGGCGGAATAGAGTTTAATCCTAATAAATGTATTTCCATTTGCTTCGGCGAATGATTGTAGAGTTTTGTTAGCTGAAATCTTGGCGAGTTAGAGATTATTTACAGGCATCTTGTATTAACACAAATCATCATTAGAATGCACGAATCTATTGAGTTTTCTTTTGTCTTGAAATTGTCGTAAAGCTCGATAGAAATAAACCTGGATGCAGCGAACTACCTCAACGGACGGATAGATTTTACGAAAGCGAGAAGAAGTTCCCATAGTTTAGAAATGTGATCTATATGAATTCTTATATTATGATACTTTCGTGAAAATCGCCTAGAAAAGCATAGTAGTAACAGTAGCATAGTTTACGTTGCCTATAAGAGCTAAGAATTAATGATGATAAATAGTAGTGCTTTTTCTATTTCTTTGGTCGTATATCGACGCTTCTCTATATTATTCTATAATATAGAGAGTTTGATTATTTAACAATTCGAAATTTTTGAAGAAACGTTGAATAGATTTGTAAATTGCATTTAATACCATCGTGAGGTAACGAGAGCGAGTGGGTAAACGAATGCAATATAGGATCTTTTACTATAGCTCCAGCTCACTAACACGTTCGTTTTTTGGATGGAGTCCTCTATTTCATAGAATTCAAATATAGAATGGGGGAGAGGACAATGTTATGCATTGGTATTATAATTATGATAGCATGAAAGTTATGGCATATGAAATTTCGTTGATTGTATGAAAAATTATATATGTACAATAATGCCTACGTCGATGTATATTATAATATCACTTTGCGAACAATCAACAATATTTTTTTTAAAGATTATGCGAAATTACCAGTAAATTCATTATATTTTACGCGTCAAAAATTATATATATTCATAAATTATCAAATTTTCAATGATCAGAACGATTATTTTCAAGATTTGCACGAAAATCTTGCGTTCGCTTATTTGATAAAAAATATATGCATACGTTTTTAATATAAATCATACAATTGCAATATTAAAATATGCAACTAAAACACATCCTTTTAATTTGAATATCAACTAAAAAGTTGCGATTTATAGTTGTAATCGCAATTTTTAATATTGTTAAACTCTTATAATACACTTCTGTTTTATATACATAATTTAACTTATAAATAATCGTAAATGTGATTTACATTTAATATGGCTTAACACTTTACCGTAGAATCTTTTCACAGTTTCTGTGAGGCATATTGCATCGCAATGACAAAACAATTACTTGTCAGGTAATTTCTAAACTATTGTTAGTATATTTGTTACTTGTGACTGAATTCGACTGGATGTACTAATGCGCATTGGTGCGTGGTGAAGAGTTTCGAGCACGAGTTGACAGAAAAGCATAATCGAATGTACAAATGAAGATGGATCAATGAGATGCCTAGCGCAAAATATTTGAAATATACTTTTGATATATATTTTAAATGTATTATATTAAATATATAATTAAATACATATATATTTAAAATGTGTATTCTGCGCTAGACATCTTTTCGTCGGTCAAGGCGCTTATATTTTAACATTCTATTCAACAGTAGTCTTAGGGGTCTACTCTGTAAACGATATCATTACATGTTTTACGCAGATATAACATATGGAAAAGCTATGCAAAGCATGTAATATCGCTAACGTTTAGAATAGGCCCCTTGGTCTGCGCCAGTGCGCAAAAGCTATGATGTTTCGAATTACAGCATTGAAATTTTTATAATGCAATTTGGCCGAGTATGAGAGACAACAATTAAATTAGTGTTAAGATTAGCCGGTAAAGCGATAAAGTAGTAAGTAATCTACAACAATAACCCGTTGATATTTCTCAGGATGCAACTTTCCGATTACATTAAATGCAACAAAGAGTTAATCAAAATAGTATACGTGTACACGTAAGTGTCATAAATGCTTCAACATTTACCGAATGCGTTTTCCAGAAACACTTTCGGGAAGAGAGTCATGCAAAATATAAATAATTCGATGTGACTTTGATCGTTTTGATCGTCGTACCTCAAATAAAATCTCAATTAAATGTATTATAAAAAACTTATATTGTAAAATCCTGTGTGAAATGTGTATGACATTTTTCGGAGTACTAATTGAAGACCGAAAGGTGTTCATCTAGTAATTATTAAGACATTCATGACGCTTCGTGTACCCTCTGTCTCTCCTACACTATATCTTTCCGTAACGTCTTCCAAACACGTCGACAGCATTGAGCATTCGATAATCCGCGGCACTTTTAACGCCTATGAAACGCATTGCGCGTGAACGAAAGTTGGTTGCCGCCGATACCACTTGGAAGACTGACTCGAGATCTGAGATACCACCGCGGGTTCCTTCGCGTAAACGCACACAAACACAAAAATAAATTACATCTCCTTTCAGTCTCGCAATTCCGATCATTCAGCATCGACATTTCGCGGACTTGAAAATTTTACCCTGAGTGCATCGCTTTCATACTCGAGAGAGGGGAAGTCTTTTACTGAGTGTACTTCGTTGGAAGAGGATAACATCGACTTAAACGACCGGCAATCGTTGATTCCGTTACATTCCGACTCTGTCGTGCGCACTATCGTTGAACACCTTGATTAAATTTTATACTCTTCGGCATACTTCCTCGGGATGTCCGACTCGGGTATAACTTTAGGAACGTCTTTCTCGGGGCTAGGGCTAGGGCTAGGCGAGGAACTTGGTGATCTTGAGCTACTGGAGCTCGATCTGGCGCGTTTCTTTTGTTCCCTCTGAGTCTTATATTCGTACAAGGGGCCGCGAATGATCTTCAGCGTTGTCTCCAGTTCGTACGCGCGATTCTTCAACAAATTGTACAAGTCGATGTCGAGGCCGATCTTTCGCGCTCTTCTATGTAGCACTATTAGGTGACGTCTATTCAACACGTCCGGCAGCATGTATTCCTAAGTGAAGAATATATGCATAATATATGTATATGAGGTCATATGTGAAGGAAAATCGTGATTGATCGCGATCGAGTTAAGTCGCGTGCAATTTTTGCCGCGCAATCCACATTTCCGGCGATTTACCACGTTTCAGCCTATACTCTTAATTCTCTAAAACCAACCTGTCGAGTCACGAGGTAATAAATAAACCACATCATAGTAGTGCCGTAAGTGACGAAGTAAGTGACGGGCTCCATTATATCCCACGAGTATTCCCACCAGGTCAATCTGGCCAACGCCCCGAATTGGATAGACATCATGACTAGGAAGGTCCAGACAAAAAAATTCGCCTTCTTGTAAGCGGCATTTTGTATCTCTTGCAACTTCTGAAACGATTAAGAGAAAACTCCGCGCTCGTCATTCACCCTCAAGTTTTCTTCTAACGAAGATAGTTTAGCTTCCACCTCAAGTAATTCCCGGAGTAGTTGGGAAAATGAGGCCGGGGATGGATGAGCATGCCGGCGAATATCGTGCAGGTTGAAACGGCAACTCTTCTATCCCGCCTCATTACTTCATTATTTCAAAAGGGAGGGAAAAGACGCGGGAAACATTTCGCAGACGTTCTCTCTTCTTACGGCGTTGCGTAACAACGTGCGCGATGCGGAGCACAAAGGCGGGATTAGAAAAGTATCGTTGCTCGTCTGGTCGCGTGTGCGAAGCGCGACGCGAGTGTGCTAATTAGAACACTCAAGAATATGGCAATTAAGAAGAAAACCATATAGGCGGGACGCAGTGAGAGAAAACGGACAATGGGAGTGTGCCCGCGTTTAAATCTGATGTACGCGCGATAGAAAGCCAATTCTCGTGCCTTAAAGTTACCGGTAAAGCAATTTTATCCCAACAAATTCTATTCTTATACGCGTATACGTCGCTTAATCTCCGTACGTGTCACGATACACCGGTAAACACCAACTAACAGTTAAGTAAAATCAATATTATAATTTCTTACATAGGTCATTCTTATATATGTATCTTATGTTCGTAGAACATTCGACTGGCACTACTGTAACTCTTTTTCGAATGTGAATAGAATAATCTGTCGAATATAGCGTGTCGGTTATACATATATGGTATGCTCACAGGTTTCACTGCCTTTTGCATACGATAAATGTATTACACAATAAACAACGTGCAATACATAAACTCGATGAATATTAAAAAATGATTCTAAACGAATATTCTAAAGACATTCTCGACGAATGTTTTAAAAACGTTCTTCTTTGTTATGAATATACGATTTCTAATTATAATAATCTCTATATATAAAATCAATTAGAAAATGAAGAGGCCGTTTAGGACCGGGCATAGGTGCAAGTAGCCAATTAAATTAATAAGTGAATCCATATACCGTATTCTTTCCAACTTATCCTGCGCTTATTTCCTTAATTTAATTAGCTACTTGCACCTATGCCCGGTCCTAAACGGCCTCTTCATTTTCTAATTGATTTTATATCTTAAAAGGATCTAAGTTAAAATTATAGAATCTCTATTTTATAGAATATTCGATTGGAATATTCTGAAATTAAGAATATTTGCACTCCAGAAGAATATTCATATTCTTCAAGAATATTCACTATGTGCGCTTTCTGGGAATAAGCTCAAGTACCTAACGGGCTGTGGAGCCTAATACTAATTAAAGAAATACAGTCTATACATTAAGTCAATACATAAAAATTCGCTGTTCGTTACATCTATTACAATCCAAGTCATTACAACTAAAACCTTAAGATTCGCCATTCGTTACATCCATTACAACTCAAGTCAGCGCAATGAAAACCTTCAAATTCCCTACATCTGTAACATAAAATACAGTTCGAGTTCCTTCCAGGTAAAACGAAACGTTTACAACATTGCCGTTACGCAACAGTTAAGTTGGTGTTTACCGGGACTTGTATATGTACGATTATTTCGTCGTATTTTTTACCTGTTCCATGGGTACCAGCTGCAGTCTGATATCCTCCAACTCGGCGATCACCGATCTCTCCATGTCGATGTGGTACTCCCGCACGTGGAACGCCTCGAACAATTGCGCGACGAGCGCTTGCACGTCTCCGAGCTTCTGCAAATCCTCCTGCAAAAGCGGTAGACATACGTGTCGATACTCGTGGGGCACGGGTTCGACAAGGGTGGGCCCACGTGACCCGGGATACATTGCCGATAATATATTACACTTGAAGAAGTATCGCTGGGGATTCGAACCGATCAAGTGTACGCGTCGCGACTACGCGCTTCAAGATCGTATTATAGGAACGTATTATAACTATATAGAAGACTCGTCTTTATGCGATAACTCACTGTCGTGCACCTATCTTGCAACGGCGGCGAAACAACGTATTCGTTATCGTTTATCAACAATTTGAAGTCCTCCTCTAAGAGCGACTCTATCGTGTTGCTGGAAGCTATTCTGATGCCATCTGAAAAATCAATCGGGGACTTAATATATCTGGCTATCCGTTTCTCAGCGCGCTTATTAATTAGCTGAGGAATTTTATTTGCATCGGCGTCTCACCTAACGACGTTATGCAAGCTCGATCGATGCCGCGATCCTCCGTCTTCAGCATGTCTAAAAAATGGCCGACCGTGTGCGTTATCGGCTTCATGGTGAACGAGCAAGATTCCCTCCTGGATGGAAGAGGCACCGTGATCCTAGGAAGTCCCCGGTAATATGCCACGGTGACATCTGAACCTGCGTTAATAAGCATTTCATGCATTGCACAATTGTTTTGCGTATAGGCGCATAGAAAAGATTTCCGGATCCAATGCTGTTACACTTGGATCCATCGTAAAATAGTATCGACACAGCGACAATTATATTTATTGTTAAAAAAGGAATATTTTAATCTTCAATGGGAAATTCTTGATCGAGAATAAAATAGCAGTGTGTGCGTTATGACACATCGAGAGAAAATTTGTTCGAAACGCAAGAATGACCGTACATTTATACACGGAGAGAATTTTCTTTGAAAATTCATCCTGAATATCGTGCAATCGTGGGATTTTGAAGAATTTTTTGAAAAGTAAATTGTCAAAGAACTCTCATAAAATTCTTGAAAAATAAGGGAAACATTGTACACGGAGAGAATTTTCTCTTAAAATTTATCCTGGAAATCGTGTGATCGTGGGACAACACGGCATTTCGAAGAATTATGAGAGTTCTTTGAAAATTTACTACTTGTAAAATGTATGGTAAAATTTGAAAAAATTCTTCTTCAAAATGCCATGTTGTCCCACGATCACGTGATTTCCAGGAATAAATTAAAAAAAATTCTCTCCGTGCACATGTTTTCTTTATTTCAACATAGTAAATAGCAACCCGTATCAGACAACGGATTAAGCTTGAGATTAGATCGTAATTTGACCAATTAGAGCAAAGTTTACTAATCCCGAGTTTAGCGAATTTTGCTCTAATTGGTCAAATTTCGACCTAATCTCAATTCCAATCCGTAGTCTGATACGGGGCTCAAGTCAATCTTATTTAGCTTGAGAGAGGGGAATTAATTAATTAAATCTTAATATTGTTTTACTTTTTACTACACGAGGTTCTGATAAATTTAAATATGTCAAGAATATTTTTGTCTTGTTACCAGAAATCCTTTCTGAGTAGGCAGATGTATAATACAATTATACAATTCATAATGAATTTTAGTAAGCCTCGCAAAAGTGACTGTGAGACTCTGTATAAATTGTTTCTTATAGCGCACATTCTTGCTTTCTCCTGTTCACTTTTCCAGTGTTTCTTTTAAGATTTTTAGTGTTAATAACAACTTTTCAAATCTTCGCCGTTAACAACTATCCCATTTCTATTTTCTAAATTCGTATTCGATCGCGTGTATCACGCGGATACCTCGGCTCGGCGTGCAATACGATTTGCACGTGAAACACGTGCGTGCGTGCATGCGTGCGGTCGTTTCGCAGATACTTGGCGGGCACTCGTTAAAAGTTCGGATAAGAAACGTTCGAGCTCGGGCACGAAACTCGGGCGCTACGGGCGCTCTAGCTTACCTTCTCGCTCAATGGTGTCTAAACTGCGAGTCCCCAACATTATCGCGCGGAATTGTTTTTATTACCTTCTGTTAATCTAATATCAGTATTAAATCCTGAGATGTCAGTTAATCGATATTAAAGCATTCAATTTCCGACAATTGGATTAAATAACGTTGAGGAATATTAATTGCCGGTTTTGTGCAACAATTAAAATTATCACATAGTCAGAACGGAACATAATGTTCCGGTGACTCAACAGAAATGTACGAAATGCGCAATTATAAGAACGCGCGTTAAACATTAGTTACACGCTACATACTCGCTTTATATTATACGTGTATACTTCGTACACGAAATAAGTCCGGAAAATATTTCCGGCTGTGATGAGGCAAACCGCTGGACAATCTCTTGCTAAAAGCTCTGTATTTCCTAATTCAAGTTATTCTGAATATCTGACGGCTGATATTGAACGTAAAATTATATGGAGGATAAAGGAGTGAAATAAAATTCTCGACAATGTGCGCCATCCAAAATCATCGACATAAAGTAACTTTACGTTGAAGTCGTCCGAAATGCTGTTCGATAAATTTCGTCCTTGCGATTAGTCCTGAAAAATATTACACAATGTATCTTTGAAACTGGAAAAAGAGGAAGGATCTGCGGGGCCGGCGAGGCGCACCGTTTCCGCGACTTCGCTCGCGTGATAATCGCGCAATCGAGAGCTGGACTGTATTAACCTGGTTACGAGCCGTTGATATGAGGAAGGTATTAGAGTGTGGAGAACGGAATGGGACGACCGGGGATCTTTCCCGCTGTAAGCAGAACGGAACCGAGCGTTAATCCGCCTGTGCTAACGATCTCTGAAAATGCATCTTTCGGCGCAAGAACCGCCTCCGTAGGTTCCCCGAGTTTGAGCTCGTTGAAGTCGCCGAATCCAATAAATAGAGAGGAATTAATTAGACGTTTTTCGCCGCCCTGAGAAACAGCGACAAGTCGCGAAGGATAAACAAGGATGAATGAAGCGAGACGACGAAAAACAAACACGAAAATACTTTAGCCTTGTCAAATAAAATTTCAAATAATCCAATAGGTTCCTCGAAAAAATAATGTAAGAAAGATTAATTATGTAGGAAAAATATTTGTAAAAAGAAAACAGTGCGGATATTGTATTACGTATAATATTTCGACAGACGCACAGAGTTGTGATAGACATGGAAATTTCTCATATTTGACGCTGTTATAAAATGAGACGGATGCACGAAATCGACGTTTATGATGGATGGATAGGTGAAAGGATTGATATCGCTTTCGATAAGATAAATTGCAAAAGACGTTCGCACGTTTGTACTATCGTAGTTTTCATGCTGCGTGCAAATCTGTCAGCTACAAATCGAGAAATAACATTTCCAGTCAATATTGTTTCACTAACAAATCATTATCTTTCCGTCTGCGATAATTTTCAACGCTACTTCTATTAAAAAAAAAAACAAAGAGGAAGAATATTTTATGCCGCATTAATCTTGGACGTTGTTCGCGATGCACACAATAATATTTGTGGCGTGCAAGCGTATGCAATGAATGTACAATCGCGCTGTCCGTTGTGCGTGTAAAACATGTTACGAGGGGCAAACCGCTGACCAAAATCTTGTACACCAATAACCACTAATGCCCAGTGGGCATTACTTTATCGTATTTATCTTGTTTCATCTTATTTTATCTTTATAATGCCCCAGTAAGGCTTAATGCCCAAACTAATGCTCACAAAATGTTTAATAATGCCTAGTAATGCCCAGTGGACATTACTTTATCTCATTATCTGATTTTATCTTTACAATGTCCCAGCAAGGCCTAATGCCCAAAAATGCCTAGTAATGCCCAGTGGGCATTACTTTATCTTATTATCGTGTTTTATCTTATTTTATCTTTATAATGTCCCAGCAAGGCCTAATGCCCAAAAATGCCTAGCAATGCCCAGTGGGCATTACTTTATCTTATTATATTATTTATCTTGTTTTATCTTATCTTATCTTTATAATGCCTCAGCAAGGCCTAATGCCAAAAAATGCCTAATAATGCCCAGTGGGCATTACTTTATCTTATTATCTTATTTTATCTTATTGTATCTTTATAATGCCTCAGCAAGGTCTAATGCCAAAAAATGCCCAGTGGGCATTACTTTATCTTATTATCGTGTTTTATCTTATTTTATCTTTATAGTGCCTCAGCAAGGCCTAATGCCCAAAAATGCCTAGTAATGCCCAGTGGGCATTACTCTATCTTATTTATCTTGTTTTATCTTTATAATGCCCCAAAAATGCCTAGTTATACCCAGTAATGCCGCAAATCTGTACACCACAATGTCCTCAGCGGTTTACCCCTCGTATGTTTACTTACAACGTTACTTATACGCATAAACTATCGATGTACCATTTCGTTTACACGCGGGAATCCCGCGGTGCGTAATCGGCGATCGTTTGTCATCGAGAGTTCTCGTCCCGAAAGGGAAACGACGGCGGGCAAGATCCCTCGATCATTCGAAGGCGCGATCGCCTGAGGAGCGATCGATTAACGGTAGCCGCGATTCCTCAGGTGGGAATTCGGTGCCGCGAATTAATAATTCCTCAAGCGAACGCAGACAACGTCCGACAATTAGTGCGCCTCCCTCCCACGGAGATGATGAACGGCGATGTCCGTGTGCATCGCCCGGCAGTAGGTTGGCACGCAGATGGAAGAGGCAAGAAATCTGCCACCACCAAGCCGTCCGTCTCCCTTCTTCCGACAACCACGATGCGACGCGGTGGTGAGGTTTTCTGTGCCGCCACAGTCTACCATAAGATCCTGCTCAATTAATAAGTGGCGTGACCGTGGAACCGAGCCGACATCGTGGTTCTTTTTTGTTTTTGGTGCGACAGCACCCCGAGCTTCTTCGAGCTTGTCTGCTCTGTATCGAGGACCCGCCACTGTGTTCTTCGAGAATGTACGACTGACGAGCGCCGAGGGAAGTTCCCAAGGGTAGGTAGAGATTCCGTGACATGGACTGACCATTCGATTTACGAGGACATTCCCGGGAAGCCGCTGTCGTTAGCACTCGAGTAATCGCGCAACGGGACTCGCGCGGATCCCTAAGATAATAAATCGAAGGGTTGAAAGCAAAGAAAAGGAAGAAAAAAGAGCGGCAGGATCGTAGATTATTCGCGTCGAGTTTATCTTCCATGTGGTCTCGTATCTAAAACGGATCTCCTACAAATTTATTCAACTCTTGCGCTCAAGACCCTTCGAGCTAAGTGAAGTTATTTCGCGGAGTTTTGCGCGATATTAAATTTAAGCGCAGCTGCTTTTGTGAAATCTGGTTTACTTGGAGTATTACACGCTCCGAATACCTTGACCACGGCGGACCAAACTTGTATACGGTTAAAATGCAAAGAAAACATATTAAGCTTAATTTTAACCTCCGTAAATGCAATTACTATGTTATTAATATGCTGCTGCGGGGAAACTAAACAGCCTCATAAATATGTAAATAAGAACGATTCAGTTAAACTTACTATAACTGTAATCTCAATCGCGTGGAGGAGTCGTTTAAACACGTACGAACTTCATATTCAATAAAGTAACATCTTTTAATATCAATATACATTAAACGTTCGAGATTGTACTTATTTCAATTTTCAATTAATTAAAATTAATTTCAATTTCAATTCATTAAAAAAAATTGACAAGAAAACTTTTATCTGGAAGATTGTAGGAAAGTCTTTCATGTGCGCTCACCTATTCTGTTCTTTTTTTTAAATTACCGCTCAACTTTCAACAGAGACCAAATTGTGAAGAAATTTACGCGCCGGTGATCGTCGAGAAAGTCTCTGAAGTTCTGACACGTGGAAATACATATCTTGTCGAATCGGACGAAGGAAAAAAAAACAATATGTTCTTGCGTAAAGCGCTGCGCGAGTTAAACTTACGTCCGAGCAATTATCGAGTGCGAAATTATCTATTCTTTCGTCCTTCTCTTTGACGAGTGGGCCTATAAACTCGTGCATCTCGCGACGACTGATAGAAAACAATCTTAGGAACCTGTTAACAGTTCGCGTGTAACCGTGATTGCTGCAATTTCATTTCCTCTTTTGGCAGTAACGCATTATACCTTATCAAACGACATCTCGTAGGAATTACAGTCGGCGACATCTCGACAGCGCGTGTCGTTACCATAGAAATGTTGCATTCGCCCAAATAACATTTATATTGACTTGCACAAAAATTGTTTCAACTTCCATGTATCTTATATACAGGGTGTCCCATTTTAACTTGGACAGTAAAATATAATATCTCAAAAACTAATTAAGCTCAGCAAACAAAAATGTTTCAGACAAAAGTTGTATGATTTCGAGGGGGACATAAGATGGTGTCATTAATTTGACCTTGAATAGTTGCTTGAAGGTCACGTGAAGGCCACTTTCAATTGGAACTCCCTATTGTTTATTGTACTATTCTACTGATTAATATGAATAACTTTTGTCTGAAACATTTTTTTATTTGCCTAATACTTTTTGAGATATTCAAGAGAAAATTTATAACTTTTTCAATGTTTAGCTTATGATATCTCGATAACTGTTTAGCGGAGGGAAAAGTAGTACAGGACTTTTTGACTTGATTTCGTCTCAGGAATATGCTGTTGCAATAATGCTCAAATTATTGAAAATGTTTGTGTATGTTACAATACACAAAAATTTTCAATAATTGAAACGCTTCAGTCGCGACTGATAAAAAAACATGACAATGTATATATGTATATCAATATAATATATACATATATCGGTTCCAAAAATAAGAAATTCAAGATCTTAATGGTTTTTTCCCCATAACTTCAATTTTATTTAACTTTGAAGTTTTCAATTTTACGGAATATTTATTTGCGAATTCAGATGTAAATTGTAGCTTTGCTTTTAATTGAGAGCAATATGCATCGCGCAGAATGAGCGTGTCTCTGGGTAAGCAGCTGCAACGCGATTTTTCGTAGCATGAATGGACCCAGGCACATCCTCTCATGGGTTTAAGGTATCTGCAATGCATGGATAATATATGAGCATTCCCTCGGGATACCTGACGCTGTGAGAGGTGGGGTGTACGTGATCGCTCGGTTAGGCATTCGACAAGCGCTCCTCTGCCCGCATGTATCGGACATCCATATAGATGACGGATTAAAACATCTCGAGCTTATGCTGCCTTCAAACGAGAGTCCTGCATCTAATATCCGTCTTGATTTTGTCCTTATCTTCACGGAGAGAATTTTTTCCCCAAATTTATCCTGAAAATCACGTAATCGTGGGACAACGTGGCATTTCGAAGAATTTTATGAGGGTCTGTAAATTTTACCATACATTTTACTAGTAGAATGTAAATTTCAAAGAAACTCTCTCATACAGTTCTTCAAAATGTCACGTTGTCTCACGATTACATAATTTTCATGGTAAATTTTGAAGAGAAAATTCTTCGATTTATGGTTTACGGTTACTTGAAGTAAAATTAAAGAATGGGCAGAATTGTTATTTCAGATTTAGATTAAATATCATAAACAAAATTTTACAATGTCCCCGGGTTTGCTGAGAAACAATGCGGTGTTAATGTAAAATTACACATTTAAAAAATTAATTAATCACAAGTTAAAATTATTACAAAAATTATTTTCACACGCACATATTTTTTGTTTATTGTTCTGATACGAAAGACTGATCAAAGTCAGCTTTTTAATTAAGAATGAGAGTCAACGATAAGAATAAGATCCTTATCGATAGAGACAGGACTGTCTGCTTGTTAACTATTATTTTTAGGTCGTAAACCTTTATGGTTACGACCTTTTCTCGAAAAACTTAACGATAGAACATCTCTCGGTTCGCAATACGACTAACGCGCGCTGCTGTTGAATTTATATCCCTGCTGGATCGATCTTACTTACGAGAAGGGTGCACGCTTACGCCATCTAGTAACGAGTCGTGGTACGAAAGACACGCTGCCTGAAAATTTATGCAGAGCTACGTAATACGAGCGAGATAGACGAGTAGGGGCAGGGGCAGATATTTTTTAGCTCGTGCCGCAATACGTGCAGCAGGCAGGCCTTTCATTTTATTTCTTTGGACCTCTTTTCAGAATATTTCGTGCCTTTCTGAGCAACACACAAATGCATACGCGAGAGCGCGTATGTTTCCCACGTCAAATTCCGCATCGTAGAAATTGAATAACCTGCCACTCGTCCCGAGCGAGCTCTAAATATGTTCGAAAACAAGGTTGACAATATGCCTTTAAATGAATACTTTCACGTCGCGTTGCCTATGCGATCTGGGCTGCTATTACATAGATAAACAGCGCAGAAAAAGAATCAGCTTACATCATCGTTTCGCCGGTGTCCGCTTTGTTTAAAGACGTATGAAACTGTCTGATTACGCTGATTGGACTAACCGATTATGTTGTTGCACCGAATAATTACGCATTACATAATTATACGTTGGATGCAAATTGCGGACCAACAAACGTATCCACTCTTTGTCATCCGCGCCAAGAAAGCCGAGCTTAGACGTGTAATGGTATGTCATAAACTTCTAACGGGCTCCCTAAATTGTGATAAGTTAGTCGAGGCGTCATTAATCACGCTCTAAGAACCTTGCGTTTGTTTTACAGTAATTGCACTTTTGAATCCTTAACACTAGCGGCAAGAACTTCGAGAGGTCCTGCTGCCAGCACGCTTGGCAGTTCCAAGTGTATTATAAACGATACCGCGCTTCTTGCTTGCATTTCTTGCGGTGCAGAGCTATAATTAGCGAGGTCCGAGAAGATCCGCGTCGAAAATATACCATCAAACATTTCACTAGAGATTTCCCCGATATTGATATGTTCATCCGTCTTCCCGTTCACCAGCTCGCGAGCGCGAAGTGCATGCAACGAAAAGTCGGGCAAAAGTCAATAATCGATTAGAGACAAATAATAATCGGCGGTGCCGATTAACAACGCCTGATACTATCGCGTATCTTCCGGTGCTTGGTATACATTCTATTTTTCAACGGGATTTATCGTTTTCCGATTGGATCGCCTAAGTGAAAAAGCTACGCCGCGGTATCGACGAGCGCAGCCACCGTAATGTTTCGAACGTTTGCAAGATGTGCAACAACGAAATACTCGAGGGGGAAACCGCTGAGGGCATTGTGGTGTACAGAGTTGCGGCATTACTGGGCATCACTAGACATTACTGGGCATTGTTTGGGCATTAGGCCTTGCTGGGGCATTATAAAGATAAGATAAGATGAAAAGATAAATGCCCACTGGGCATTACTAGGCATTTTTTTGGCACTGGGCCTTGCTGGGGCATTATAAAGATAAAATAAGATAAAGCAAGATAAATAAGATAATAAGATAAAGTAATGCCCACTGGGCATTACTAGGCATTTTTTGGCATTAGGCTTTGCTGAGGCATTATAAAGATAAAATAAGATAAAACAAGATAAATAATATAATAAGATAAAGTAATGCCCACTGGGCATTACTAGGCATTTTTTGGGCATTAGGTCTTGCTGAGGCATTATAAAGATAAAATAAGATAAAACAAGATAAATAATATAAAGTAATGCTCACTGGGCATTACTAGGCATTTTTGGGCATTAGGCCTTGCTGGGGTATTATAAAGATAAAATAAGATAAAGTAATGTCCACTGGGTATTAGTGGGCATTGGTGTACATACAAGATTTTGGTCAGTGGTTTCCCGCTCGGTAATACTAGAGTACAATTTGCGCGACATCGCTCTACCATTAAATGTGAATTTCTATTTAGGTCTCTTCGCGGTCGGCCATGGGCGGTGTGCAGAGCGGGACTCATAATCTTGGCGAGGCGTTATGGGTGCAGGAGCGACAGCGGCAGAAGTGCCATCGGTGAGTAGCGGGTTGCTTAATAATGCACGGCAGAATGCGCTGTGTTATAGGCGTACCTATATGCAAGCGATGTAGATAATCGAGACGAGCTTCGGGAGAGGAGGATTTTTTTAGCTTCCACTCTGATTCCATACAATGGTCAAATAGTATCGTATTGAGCGAATCTACCAAACATTGCTCTGCAGTCGCACCGCTGGTATATTTTTCCCTGCTTTATTCGGTGAAATTGAGTAGACAAGCGAGACAGGTACGTCGAACGTGGACAGCTCGATAGGAAAAGCCGTCCAACGGGCGAAAGGTCTCGAGCATCTACGCGGAGAGAATTTTCTTTCAAAATTTACCTTGAAAATCGTGCAATCGTGGGACAACACGGCGTTTCGAAGAATTTTAGAAGGGGCTTTTGAAAGTTACCATTTTACTAGAAAGAATTTTATGAGAGCTTTTTGGAATATTACGTTTCACTAGTAAAATATATGGTAATATTTGAACAAAAACTCTTAAGGCCTGTGTCCACGATGCTGGGACTTGGTCCGAGTTCTAGCATCGCGGGCACAGACCTTTATAAAATTCTTCGAAATGCCACGTTGTCCCACGATTACACGATTTTCAGGTAAATTTTAAGAGAAAATTGTCTTCGTCGCCCGACATTTTTCTCGTCCGGGGGCCGATTGTTCCAATTCCTTGATAAGCTTACTCAACCACGTACCTGTCGGGTAAAATCTTACCAAGGAGTCATTACGCGGAGCGTTTTAATGCCCGCCTCCCTGAAGACACGCCCTTAAATATTACTCTATTAGCAAAGGAACTAAGCTTTACTAATACTGGATTTAATATAAAACTCGATATTACATCTTGCAATTAATTGCTCGCCATGTCCTCCGACGACTTTGTACCGAGCGGAATCAAAGGCTGATGAAGATGTTTTAATAACTACGTCGGAGAATATTTTTGTATCTGAGCCGGCGATTCGCCAATTATCCCGTGTCGGAAAAGTTTCAGTAATTACGAGGTGATCCCCCTTGCAAAAGTCTCGTCTCGTTCTTATTCAACAAAAGTGTCTTCCGCAACTGCGATAATTACGGCGGTGCCTATGTATATTGCATTTAGCAGCAACAAATGCAGCTTTCCTTCGGAAGCTATTTTCTGCGATCGCAAAAACCGAGATAAAACAGTTAACTGGGGCAAGGTTGCCACGAATAATTTAAAAGATCTCCGGAGAATTTCGCACGTGCTGCTCCGAGCTTCTCCGCCTTGACGATCCGGAGTCCCGTTCGTCTCGCCGTTTCCCGAGACGATGCGTCACAATTAGTAATGGTTAATAGCTAATTACCGCCGTATTGCCACGGTCAGGCAACGCTTATTAATACGGTTGTGGTCTAATTACGCGACTTGGTCTAAACGTCTGAGCGTTCATTTCTATATACTAGGTGAGGCCGCAAAGCGCGAGTTCCAGTTTTATTTTGTGAGCCAAATAAAGTGTTGTGCTGCGCGCGCGTTAGCATTTTGCAGTATCATCTAGTTAAAAATTATATTTGCCAATTATGTTGGTACGAGCCGGCCCAATTAAATCTTGCAAATGTTCAAACAACTGTACGTAATTCAGGGGAAAATGGTGCCGACTTATAACTAACACACAAAATTAATTTTCGCTACAAAAGCTATCCGTCGCAACTAACAATCCCGCAAATGCGACGCATCTTAAACAGATGCCTCGGTGGCGAAATCCATCTCGGGGGTGAACTGGATTCGAACACCAGTTGTGTCCCCAAATTACCGCATTTGCCTCTCACCGCATTAGATTTCCGTTAATTAAGAGCTAAGCTATAAGGTAACTGGACCGTGTATAACGCATGGACAATCGCAACACTGCAGCGTTATACATTTCAGTTAAACTTCACGGTCGTATTTCCAAATAAAAAACATACGACAATATCGATAGACTATGATATCCGTCGGAAAAAAAAAGAAGATCGGATATGCAATATTTGCGATAATTGATTTCGTGCCAAAGCTCCTTCGTACAGGTATAACGATGTTGATTTACGGACGGTATTCATCGTGGCGATATTGGGCAATCATTCGACGGGATCGATTCGTGTCAAACAAACCGCGGGATACACCGAGGTATCGCTAATTAGCGCGAAACCCGCGTGCGTCGTAGCGTGATCGTAGTAGCGGAACACCGGATATCCGTCTTCTGAGTATCTCTCTCTCTCTCTCTCTCTCTCTCTCTCTCTCTCTCTCTCTCTCTCTCTCTCTCTCTCCGTTTCCCTCCTCTACCAACCCCTTTCTTCCCGTCCCCCTCTCCCGCGATACGTACGCACACGTGCATATCATACGGCACAAAGGGCTTTGACAAACCGCGTGTGTCTCCTGCACATCGGAAATCACTCGCTACGCGGAGAGGGCCCGGCGACGCGGAGTGTCGTCAGTGCGAAGTGCCGTAGCGGCTTGGACCGCGATGTACGTCGTCAAGATTGTCTACTGCCAGGTGACGATGGAGTTCGTCGACCGTGATGCCAGGACATCGAGGTAGATTGAAATTGATAAAGGCGCCCATTCCGAGAGGACCGTGTTAGTGCAAGTTGCGTACCTCGCGCAAAATTTCGTCATCAATCTTTCGAATTTTGCACGTTTTATTTCGTTTACTTAAACTTGTCTCTGACAATGTAAGTGTCGTCAAAACGCGGGAATAAAAAAAATTCACAAAAATGAAAAGTACGAGAAAACGTAAGTGTTTCTTATACAGCCTTTTTCTGGCGAACTTGTCGGTTTTATCGTGCGATGTACCGTCACCTTTTTTTTATTGGTACTTCATTTTATTAAGATTAATGAGTTTTACCTTGTTTAAATGCACGAAACCTGCCGCTGCATTGTGGGTATTAATAATCACATGAAATCCCGTGCATTATCTGTGGCTTAACTCTTCGCGCAAAATAGGTCATATGTGCACGTATATCAGAAATTATCCCAAAGTTGTATAATACTTATATAGTTATTCAGCACAAGATTTGAAAAGGTTTTATCAAAGATATTTGTTTTGCTTTAATTTGCGATATAAAATTTAAATAAATTGTTTAATTTAACCAATATAAAATGTTTTACAGAACACCTAAAACAAGTTAACGCGGGGCTTTTGACAATACAACCGTGAGTTTTCAGATACAAAACAAATTACGTTTTCTGTCAATTTGTTGTAAATAGCAGATGCCACGGAAAATTAAATGAAGATTTACACTGATCGGACAGTCAGCTTTCCGCATTGGTTGATCGTAGCACAATGTGTGATGTACACTGAGAAAAATGTCCGATTAAACATGATCGGGATAATCCAATTACATAATAACAAACGGATATATCCAATTAAATTGTACATCCGATGAAAAATATGATCGGCTTGTCAATCAAATTTCAACGGATGTATCCACAATTTAATCGGAAAAATTAACCATCGGAAATACTGTTTAGTCGGTTTATCCGACGGAAATTTTTCTCAGTGTGGATGCAGTTTGATCGGCAGGCCGATCGAGAAAGTTCGTAATGACGTCCGTCGTCGCTAAATATTTGAATTATTTCGAGCGTTAGTCTCGTTTGCTTTACTTTTCGCTGCAGACCGTCGTCAAATTCCGTTCTGTACATACGTTCAAAGCGACGAGGTCGCATTAGCGTGGCGACTTGCCAACATATACGCAATTTCGTGTCCGAGGACTTGTAATCCCAGGTTACCGCGCAGACGAGGGCTTGCTCCTTAACCCTTAAATGCATCATGTTGCCATTCGGCAACATATCGATAGGTGGGTAGCGTTGAATGTACACGCACCGGCATAAATGCTGTCCCTATCCTTGTGAGGTGCACGCACACAACTAGAGTCCCTGTAGTTGTGTGCGTGCACCTCACAAGGATAGGGACAGCATTTATGCCGGTGCGTGTACGAGTATGTACGGCATCGATGAAGCGCACACTGTAGTCGATTGGCTACATACCGATCGAGTGTTTCGAGTTTATAATTTATGTTTCATATGTTTCTAATTTCATGATGTTGCCATTCGGCAACACACCCTTTTGTTCTTGAAAAAAAAAAAAAACAGTAAGATAGATTTTTTCTCATTTTTCCCTTATTGTACTCCTTTTGTTGTATCATATTCAGCAAAAAAATCATGCATTTAAGGGTTAAACACGATGCTTCGATACACTGAGAAAAATGTCCGATTAAATATAATCGGATAATCCAATTACATGATAACAAACGGATATGTCCGATTAAATTGTATATCCGATGAAAAATTTGATCGGTTTTTCAATCAAATTTCATCGGTAATTGCATTTCATCGGATAAATTTCATCGGATATATCCATAATTTAATCGGAAAACGTAATCGGAAAAATTAACCATCGGACATACTATTTAATTGGTTTATCCGATGAAAATTTTTCTCAGTGTACCTTTTGCAACGAGAGATCCACTTTCGCAGTTCGCCGTCGAATGGAAAATACGAGACTTTTGTGAATATCTTGCGGGATGAGAGGGAACTCGTCGATCGGTATAACGGGAGAATCGAGTCCTCATTAAAAACTATTAGCAGCATATATATATATATATTGAATTTCCCTTGTGAGAATAGGAACGTGCTCTCTATTGTGTAATTTCCTGCCGGTTCCTGCGGCCTCGTTTCCTGACCTTTCTGTGGCAGCGGGAAAAATCGTGCAAGCCGCGGAATAACCGGCCCTACTTTTCCATCTCGTTTAACAAACACTAATGTGAACGTTAACAATTCGTCGTCGGTTCACGAGACTTTAATACGAACTCGTCGGAGTTAAGTTCGCGTGCCAAATCGTCCTAACGAGATGCTGACGCGAGCGTTCGTCACTACGGAGGCTGTGCATGATTGATGGATCCCTCGGTTCTGTTTTGCCTTCGACTTAGACGCAATTTGCGATTGGCCCCGCGAAGATTCTCCTCTCGCTTATGTAATAATAACTTTATTACACAGGCGATGTT